GTCAAAGCTCCTGGCCACCCAGGCTAAGCAGCACTGATGATTCAACAAAAAGGCTGTACACCTTCCACTGCATCAAGCCGCCTTGATCTTAATTAATGCTCAACTACCTACACAACAAGGGCACCCTAAGACACAGCTAACAGACTGACTGCAAACAGTACGTATGTGAGAAAATAAAGGCAAGAGTACTGGCTGGCTTTGTCACAAAAACTAATTGAAATTAAAAGATCTGCATTTAAGAGATCTTGATTTCCTCTCCCTTCCCCTGCCACTCTCCAAGCCCATGGCCTTGTGTCCCTGCCATGTTCCACGCTGGGTTCCTCCCTAGCCTCAGAGGCCCGCCCGTTTCTATCTCCAGCACATTCTGGACTGTGGTGCCAAGACTTCCCCCATAATCACTATCCCTTACATTAGTGGGAAGCTAAAATTCCTCCACTCAAAAGAAACCATTCTCTAACAAAACGTCTTCTATCTTCTATGTCAACTTTGTAATACCACGACGTCGTATCACCTATGTAATTTTATATTGTTATTGCACTTAACATGAAAATATATGTTTTCTGTATTTTTAAAGGCTCATGTACACTTTAATAATTACAATGGACAAACCACTGATCGCTTAATCATTCTGGTTCTGTTCATCTCATACTGGTTATCTGGGGTTGCTTGCAATTTATTACTATAACAAATAATCCTGAAAATGCCTTTTCACAAGCATCTCTGAATATATTTCAGGCTAATTCTCTGGAATGGATTTCAAGAAATTTAGAAATTAAAGAGAAAGCCCTAAATTAAAGAGCTTGATCACTTTCAGAATTCTATATATAACTGCCATATTACTTTTGAGAAACTCTATATGGGTTTACATTTCCACCATTAGAACTAAAGTTTCTCTCTTTAAATCTCTTCTCACTGATTACAGAAAATACGGCTATTACAATTTTTATGGTAAGTTTAACTTTTTTTCCCAAAGGCTTAGTGTTTACCATTTTTTAAATTGTTCACATCCTTTCCCATTTATCTATTAATCTTAATGTATTTGTCTTAATGAGCTCTTCAGACATTAAGGATAACCTTGTATGATACCTGATGCAAATAATATTCCAATTAACTTGTGATCTGGCTTATACTGTTTGAGGCAAGGAATTTATTAAACTCTCATTAGGTAGCCTATTGTCATTTCATCCACTGCCTTTAACTTTTAAAAAGTCATGCTCCTCCCCAGTCCCCTCTTTGAATGCATTCCCCAGCCCCATACAGATCACTGGCAAAGAGTGGAACCTAATGTTCAGAGGTGTTTTTTGTTTTTTTAGAGACACAGTCTTGTTCTGTAGTTCAGGCCAGAAGTGCAGTAGTGCAATCATAGCTCACTGCAGCCTCAAACTCCAGGGCTCAAGCAATCCTCCCACCTCAGCCTCCCGAGTAGCTGAGACTACAGGCATTTGCCACCAAGCCCAGGTAATTTTGTTTTTTTGTAGAGACATGGTCTTGTTATGCTGCCCAGGCTGGTGTGAAACTCCTAGTCTCAAGCAATCCTCCTGACTAGGCCTCCCAAAGTGTTGGGATTACAGGTGTGAGCCATAATACCTGGACTGTTAAAGGCGTTTAAGCACAATCTTTGGTCAATCTTTGGCTGAATACTAACTTATGCTATCCAAAAGTGAATCCTAGAAAGACAGAATTAAAAATAAAAACAAGAATAAAAAAAATAAAAAGAGACAACAGTGACTATGGGGAGACAAACTACAGAAGTGCTCTAGGTGAGTCACAGAGCAAGAAACAGCAACAGCAACAGTATATCCCAGGGGAGGTGGATTTCAAACATCCAGAGCTGCTAAAATAGGTGTAAGATGTCCAGTTTTCAATTTAAAAAATTATAGGACATGCAAGAAAGTGTGACCACACACACACACACACACACACGAAAAAAAGAAGCAGTCAATAGAAACTGTGTCTGGGGGACACAGATAGTGGACTTAGGAGATAAAGGTTTCAAAGCAGCTATTATAAATATGTCCAAAAAACTAAAGGAAATTATGCTTAAAAATATTAAAGGACAGTATGAAGACAATGGCTCAAATATTGTCTGTAACTGACTAACTGCACAACAGGAGTCCCAGAAGGAGAGGAGAGAGAAATAGTTACTGAATGGTCCATAATAACAGACAGATTACTAAGCGTTTTACTTCCCAGTGTCTATTTGGTGTTCATCTTAACCACTATACAGTAGCAGGAAGACACATACCCATCCCATTCATACCTGCCTCATTGTCTCTTAATTTCAAAATGGTACTTTCACATGGAATACTCTTCCCTCAACTCCATTATACTGATCCCAAGTTAAGAGAAGTCGTTCATGTAACTTTCCTTAACACCATTGGTCCACACTGGTCTTACCCTTTAGTAAGTTTTCAACTCTCGGTGGCGTTAAAAACACCTTATAGTTTTCTGTGAAAACGAAACTACAAAAGGGGGTGTGGAAATGCCTGACACATTATCTATCATGTTTTGTTCTGTGTTGTATTCTGTTCTCTATTTTTATGTACGATTTATAAATATAAAATTAAGGAAAGCTGAAATTGATTCCTGGCTTAGTCAGTAACCAGCGTATGACCTTGGACAAGGCATTCAGCTTCTGTTTTCTCTATTGTAAAATGAGAGTACTACATCAAAAGATGATTTTCTATGAATTCTATGAGTTTATTTCTATAACAACTGTAATTTTACCACGTTCTATTTACAAATGCAGCTTTATATAGACAACAATTTAGATGTAATTTTGAGGTCAAGGCATTCTCCATCATTCTGTATGAGAGAGTTGGCTGATTCGAAGGAAGAGCACCTACAATACCCAGGCTATCCCCTCTGTAAAAGGATAGTTAGAGAAGGAAATGAAAAAGGTACCGACTATGCTTCAATCTGAGAAGAACAGAACATATAATGCAAAGTAAAACCCACCAGGATTTCTAAAAAAGCATGGTTGTCTGGTTTGATAAAACGCCTAACGAAAGGAAGATTAATGAAGAAAGTAAAGAATGCCCGTGGCACCAATTTAAACGCTATTAACCAATTTTTCTAACACAATTATCTGGACCTGACCATAACAGAAAGTAACACACCCTTTGGAACCTCACTGTGGATTGTGGCTGTGTTATTCACCACATGAAGCCTTCCCCAGGAAAGCAATGTCTTATACAAGAATGCAAGAGGAAAGGGCAAATCTAGGAGTTAAAACTCAAGTTTTCCTACAACCCATAAAACCCGCCTACTGTCTTTGTAGCTATGTACACAAAATTACACATCAACTACACTACACACTAAAAAGGAAATAAGCTGGTGGAGCCAAATCCCGGGAGCAAATGCCCAACAGGCCAAAGGACGAAGGCGATGCAGAGCACTAGGAGAGATGACAGAAAGCAGGTGTCCCGGGAACATGGGCCACATGACGCGCTAACAGGAGTCTGATCTTCTCAAAGTCCACAAAGTTGAAATAGAAGGCAGAGTCCAAGTAGCCAAATGAAGATGAATGAAAAAAAAGGGAAGAAAGAGGGGAAGCAAAGAAAAGGGTTTCCAAGGCAGAAAAGGATCTGGAGTTGACCAAATACGAGGAAAAAGAAGTCAAAGACTGGCACTAAGGTAAGAGAAGTGGCATGATGCATGAAGAGACCTGTTCACAAGAAGGTGCACAGATGTCAAATTATGAAAAAGAAGCAGTAAAAATGGGGGCAACAGAAGACCGTCGTGTTCCCGTACCCAAGTGCGAGCTCAGCGAGGGGAGAGGCACCCGCCCGCCATTCTGTTCACCGTGCACCCTGATGCCTTTAACAGAGCTACACAGAGCAGGCACCAAATAAACGGTTATTCATGAGTGGGTCCCCAGGCCGGTCTGTCCTGTAGTAAGACGCTGGGGCCGATGGAAGGTGGGCACTCAGGAGAAAGCTGAGAGTGCAAGCCCCACAGCACAGGACGGTGGCACAGGTCCACGTGGTGGAGCTGTTCAGATTCCATTTCACCACAACCTTTCACCGTTTCCCAACACAGGCACAGAAAATCAAATGCTCACGATAAAATGACTGCTGCACAAAAACACCAATCAACTGCTATTTCACACCAACAATTCAAAGGTCTCATGGGTTCATATTTATATCTCCTCACCAAGAAAATAAAAGACTGGGAGTAGGGAAAGAAGTAACAAAACAAATGCACATTTTCCCCAGAATTCAAAACATACATATGTTTAGAGGGTTTACTTTGTTGTTATCATATTGAGTAGTTTAAAATTTTAATAAATTCTTTAAAATAAATTACTTTCCATTTCTATAGAGCATGCAACAGCTACATAAGCTTAGGTACAAAGAAGGTTTAGACGATACAGATTTAGTACCATGAGACTATACATTTGATTTAATAGCATTAGACCATACAGATTTAATAGCAATAGACTACACAGATTTAGTATCACATACTGAACATATTAAGCAGCAAATTTTAGGATCCAGAAACACCTGTCTTTAACATGTATAGCGTTTAGACATGCTCCCGTAATTCTACGCCATGTGATATGTACACATCAATCCTGGGAAACGCTATATTAAGAGAAAAAATAAATTAGAAGCCCTATGTCTAAAGTACTTACAGTCTGCTCTGAATACAAACAGAATGGCACTCAATGCATACAGAATTTTCAAATCACATTATACATCTTTTAAAATATCATTTTTGAAGACTGGCTATGGCATGAGGAAACAGCCATATTACTATGTTATGGGACAAGGGACGCTTCCATATACACGATGTTAAAACAAAAACATACAATTACAAAAATACAGAGATTAGAAGGAAACAGACCAAAACCTTAAGGGTGGTTACATTTGTGTGGCAGATAAGTGAACTTTATTTCCTTCTTCCTATTCTAGGTACTTCACCTATGTTCTACATTGCTGAGTTTTAGAGACAGCCAAAAAACCAGTTAGTTATAAAAACGTTCTGCAATTACTCACCACATTGTAATAGCTTTTGTTTATGGCGGTCGTATCAAATCCTTTGGGAGGGCTCTTCAGCGTTCCTGATTTGGGAGACAGAGGCTTCTCTGAAATCAAAACGTAGCATAGTTTTACTGATCAGTACTAAAGATGACAAAAGTTCCAGCCCCTCACAGAGGCCAAGGATACTCATCCAGCAGCCTCGCCAAATTAACAAGCCAAACGGCAAGCCGAGGAAAAGGCCGTCCACAGTGACTCTCCGTGCCCCAGAAACCCAGTCCCTCAGGCTCGGCTCACCAAGGCCAATCACCGCACCCCATCCCCACCCTGTTCTCCCAGTTCCAAGCCGAAGGCGTCTAAGAGGCTGCTCTACGAGTGGCAGCCAAAACCAAAGCAGTTTAGCTGCAAGGACAATTCCACAGTGTGATAAATATAAAGCATCACCCAGACACCCAAATAAAAGGCATTTTGGCAGATACGTAACAATATTAAAACTTCAGGGCTAAAAGTTAGGGATTCCGACCCCTCAGAATGGAAAAGTCCCTCTAAAGAAGCAGGATCTGGCTCAGAGCCTGAAATAACCATCGCTCACAGAAGACAGGACGAGAAAGAAAAGTCATCTCAAGCAGGGGCAAAAACAAGAAAAACCCACACCATCTTCACTTCCACACCAGGCGAAACCATTGAAGCAGTCCTGATTCCAGCAAGGATTCCGATGTTTTAAAACAGCACCGCTTTCGCCCCACATCCACTCAACACATATTTACTCTGCATAACACCCGCCAAACAAAACCTGGCACCGTGCCTGCCCGTCGTCAGCTCTCCGGGGTGGGTCTGTCTGCCGACGGTTCTACAGGAAGGGTCTCTATCACCGGTTTTATGGACAGTGTGGGTGTGTCTATGCCCGTCGTCAGCTCTCCGGGTGGGCCTGTCTGCCGACGGTTCTACAGGAAGGGTCTCTATCACCGGTTTTATGGACAGTGTGGGTGTGTCTATGCCCGTTGTCAGCTCTCCGGGTGGGCCTGTCTGCCGACGGTTCTACAGGAAGGGTCTCTATCACCGGTTCTATGGACAGTGTGGGTGTGTCTATGCCCGTCGTCAGCTCTCCGGGGTGGGCCTGTCTGCCGACGGTTCTACAGGAAGGGTCTCTATCACCGGTTCTATGGACAGTGTGGGTGTGTCTACTGCTGGTGTGTGGGTGGGTCTGCCAGTTCTATGGGGGTGTGTGTGTCTATTATCAGTTCTACGGACAGTGTCTGTGTCTTTACCATGAGTTCTACAGACAGTGCATGGTGTCCACCATCGGTTCTGTGGGGTGGGTTCCTCTGTCTCTCAATGGTTTTATGGGTGTGCGTGTGTTTCTATTAATGATGAGATGGACAGTGTGTGTCTATCACAATTCTATGGGGTGGGTCTATCACTGGTTCTGTGTGTGTGTGTGTGTGTGTGTGTGTGTCTGGTTATCACAGTTCCATGGGGCAGATCTACCAACAGTTCTATGGGGTGGGCAGATAGGTCTAACACTGATTCTTACATTCTGTACATCTAACATTCGTTCTATGGATTCTGTTTACCACTGGTTTTCCAGGGCTACAGGGGCGGTGTATCAAATTGGGGCTAGTGGGGACAAAGGAAAGGGAGAGGTTTTTTCCCACATTCTTCCCCCAAGAAAGTCCGATGAGCATTTTCTAGGGGACTTAGTTCCTACCAGTTCTCCCTCAAAGCTCATCTCCACTGCAAGAATCCTGCCGTGTGACTCCCCTCACTGGGTGGGAACACACCCCTCTCCTCTGGTGTGAGCAGCACCTGTCTATAGTCCGTCCCTTCTGCTCTCCTCTCCTCCCATGTGTCCCGGGGTCTGAGGTAGCATATCCCAAAACAGTGCCTTCAACTCCAAACACTAAGGCTGCAGGTCCCTAACGTCAACTGCCTCCTCAGGAGCTGTACCATCTTCTAGCAACAGAAACCCAGAATGCCCCAAACCAACCTCATGCTCCTTAACCTTGGCTCCTCCCTCCTCCTGAGGAGCCGTTTACCTCAATCTTCCTTCGATGCCTCACGGAAGTTCCTAAATCTTCCCTCAATGCCTCACTGTTGAGTGTTTCCAGGTGGTCGAAAACAACAAGACAAGGTGCTGCTCCAAGTTGCAAGAATTCTCCCTGCCCACAGGATGGAAAACAAAACTTCAGGGAAACAAATCCCTTCTACACTGTAAGAGCTACTAGGAGGAAAACCAATCTATTCTTGTTAGCACACTTTCCTACTCAATCTCTTTTCTACAGCTCAGAATTTAATTGTAGAAGAAAAAAACTACGAAATGTTTTCATTTGAGAAAAAACAACACTTTTTCATCTTTGAAATCTGCAATTTGGAGGCAGGACAGAAAATACCATTACAGGGGAGACCGTCCACACCTAAATCACAGCCCCTGCGATCGTAAGCCACACGTCAGCATGCATGCCGGTAACGGTGGCCCTGAATCTGCTTTAAATCATATTAAAAGTAATGATTTTGCCAGCTCTGTTATTTTAAACTTAAGACATACCTCACAACTCAACACCACAGTTAATAAAATTCAATTAATTTACTGTAAGAACTATAAGAAAAAAAGTTTTCAAAAGAAAAAGTTTCAGGTTACTAACATTACATAAAAATAAAAAAACAGGCAGAAGAAACCCAGACAAATCAGATTAAGTCCAGGCAGGTTGCCTTTTCTCCCTTAGAAAAAAAGAGCTCCTAATTCTGCTGGCTGCTGAATGGGAGGTCTCAAGATCAAGTTCCCCAAAACACCCTGTGGTTAGTTTTCAACAAGAGGGTACCGCTAAGGTGTGCCACCCACAACGTGCCCCTGCTTCCAATTAGGAAGCATAATTTCCACAACGCCCAAGGTGGGTCTGTCAGGAGACCCTGCAGGGGAGACAGGAAGCCCCTGGCTGCCACACCCTAGCCAGGCCACTCCTGACATCCAATGCGAGGCTCTTTGCTCGCCCCACCACTGTCCAGGTTCCTGGGATGGTCACGCCAGAGGAAACGTGCCATCAACAGGAGGGGCAGGGGGCAGCAGGGGCACAGGTAACTCCCGGGCAGCCTCGGAAGCCTGCTAGTAGCTTCTACCAAAAACAGCATTGAAATTAATCTAAGAGAGGCTAAATTACGGCCATTCATAACAGATAGAAAAGCACACAGCCAGGAAATAGATTAGAAAATACTCAACCGCCCTACTCTCCTAAGAAAAGCAGCATTTTTGGCCCATCTGGTAGCTAAAAATTAATAAAATTCACTGGTTTTGAGGTGTGGGAAACCAAGAGAATGCAGCTTAGTGCTACCTTTCCAGGGGCTGACTAGGGCAGCAAGTCTTCCCTTCCTTACAATATACTCGAAAAATGCTGAAAACAAGAAAATTTAAATATAGACGTGTAAAAGAAAAGGAGGGGACGACGTGCCAAAAGCAAAGAGGAAACCCTCTCACTAGGAGAGGGGAGACAGACCTGCCTCCGGGCCGCAGCAGCTGGGGCTACACCCAATGCAGGAAGAAAACAGACCTGCTCCAACCCAGGCAAATAAAACTGGATCCCTCAGTAACCCGCAGAGCCGATGCAAAGATGTCTGGAAGCGTCTGTGCGCTGGTCTAGAGAAACAGCAAGGAAGTGCGCAGGCTGCTCAGAGATGGGAGCACAGGCTAGAGGAAACCAAAACCCGAGCCCGCACCTGCTGAGCAGGGCCACTCCAACCGCCGCTCTCCTCCTGCGGGACTACCAGGACCCGCCTGCGACAAACACGTCTCCGGGAACCCCTAAGAAGCAAATGTTATTCCTCTCTGTAGACGTATTTCTACCACCCAGTGTACACAGGAACCCACCATCAGGAATGAAGCCACCATTAAACAGTATCAGCCACAGAAGGTACTGAGCTGCCAGGAGGGTGTGAGCAGACGTGGCATATAAAGGGACCAGGTTCCCCAGAGTAGAAATAACAGGAAAATCAAGACCTAATGTCATCTGTTGTTTAAAATGACAGGAGAGAGATGCAATTGGGACCAAACCCAAGGAATAAAAAAGGCACTATGAGGATTTAAAACATCTGAAGTGGCAGCAAAATCTCTAGAAATAAATACGGTCACTAAAATGGGAATCTCCACAAACAGGTTAGTATCACTGTGAGCAGGGAATTAATGAACTGACAAGCACAGGAATGGACTACAACACAGCACAGTGAAACAAACAAATACGCAAAGGAGATTAAAACTGGGGGCAAAGTAAGACATCTAGTAAGATAATCAGGAGAAAAATCAGGGAGTGAGCAGGAAGTAGTCCTTGAGAAGATCCTTTCCAGAACTGAAGAGCTCTGGATTCCTTGGGCTGAGGAAGTACAGCCAGCCCCGAGCAAAACCAGAGTCCACCAAGACACACGGGAACGCTGCACAACTGGGCTAGGGGCAGGTCCGGAGAGCCGGGTGCGGTGCCCTCCCCCACCCTGAGCAGCTCCACCATCACGGGGCTGGGAATTCTGCCTCTTTTGAGAACACACTTCTGTGAGTCCTCACTTGCCTCTCCCACTTGACTGAAAGCCACCCGGCCGCTTCCCTCTGTTTCGGTGGTTACGCTTTCATTTGTGATGTGTCGCTGACCCAGCAAAGTCCAGAGATAATCATCACCGCTGGCTTCAACCACCAGAGCAGACATGGCCCCGAAAACTCAGGATTCCCACGTCCTCTTCCGACCTTCGGCGCTGGGGTGCTGTGCGTGGTCTGTTGGCTGTTCGTCCCGCACTCAGAGTTCACGGAGTCACCGCCTGTGTGCGTCTGCCTGTGCTCCGCAGTGTCTGCCTGCCGGTTTCCTGAACCACATGCGCCCTCCTGTCAGGTGACGTCCTCCTAGTTGTTCAAGGGATAATCTGCTAATACTCTCGATCTTTGTCTGAAAATGTTATAATTGTGCCATTACTTTTTCCCAAACTTTAAGACAGAAACTTAAAAATATACATAAACATACAGAGAATAACCATGTACACTCTTAACGTTAGCAGTCCTCAGCATTGACCCTACCTCATCCGCTTCCGCCTCGTTCTCTGCTAGAAGCACCATCAGCAAGTCTCAGAGACGGGTCAT